AATGGCCATCATACGACACCGACAAGAGTGTGCTTAAAAAATTGTTTTTCTCTGAGTGTCTTATAGATTACATTTCTGAATTTCAGGTCATCTTGTAATTAAATCCCATATGAAATGCCAACCGATCACAGCACCCAGCATCCTGCAAGTCTGCCTAGCTGACCTATCCACTTTTTGTGAATTATTAGAGCAAAATGAAAAATAAATCAAAATGAATGACTATGAATTTTAAAAAGTGAAAAAAGTCACAAAGTTTTCCAAGTAATTCTAACATTCTGAGCTCACCTTAGCCAGTGTTTTTACACATAGATAATTTAAATTGAACTTGTAATTGGTTGTTGGCAAACATCAATGATACTAATATATATCTGAATTTCTGTGAATTAAAATTTTGGAGAAGCAAAGACATAGCATAAGTTAAGTTGAAATGATAGCATAAATTACCTGAAAAGGAAGGGACTTCACAGAAATAAGCAAATAGCTCTGTGGTATATGTTACTTTTATATAAACACAATGACTCCAACATCATATATATAATATACATTGGGAATGTATATAATACAATATCATACAATATAATATACATTGGGAAGCATGCTATATATATAGATAGATATAGATAGATATATATTTAAACATCAATAAAAATATTAGTTGGGTAATATACAAATATGTAAAAAAGTTATTAAGGAAAACTGACATATAAGCCATTATATGTGAGGAAAGCAGATTTACGTGTCTTGAACTTTTAGGTTCCACCAGAAAAATTTGGATTAATCACATAACAATCCTCCCATCACACCCCACTCCGAGTAGGCTCTTCATTAACAAATACATCATTTACTTTGCTTCTTTTGATGATCTTTTCAGGACGAATTTTTATTTGAAATTTTCTTGCAAATCCACAAATAAATCATTTAACAATCTATCCTTAGACAACTTTACTGATCATGTCACAGCATATTTGAGTGGATAAAAGTTCCTGTACATAGTGAAGGTATAGTGGGCAGAAAAGAAACAGTAGAGGGTTTCAAAGAAAGATACATTTAGACCTAATGAGAGCAGCTATGGAACACTAAGTAATGAAGATATGGAAACATTAATGACTAATAGGAGAAATCTAAGAGAAGGACTGCTCTGAGGTGACCAGTTGTTATTGGTAGGTATTATCTGCATTTTAGAGATGAAGAAATATATCCTCTTAAAAATAGGGGTGTCAGTTTGTCCAGTGAGGGCCATTTATTAAAGAATTAGAAATTAAAAAATCATATGAGCATTATTCTAAGTGAAATAAGCCAGTCAATGTAGGTCAGCATTAAACCACAGACAACAAGAGATAGTAAGTAATCTTTCTGACCTACTAACTATGAATTTCAGTAACTTGACCTTGACAACAAGATGAAAATAGATTCTAGTATTATGACTTTGACAGTTATTGTCAGATCATCATATTGCAACATCTCTTCTAAAATTGTAGATAAAAATATGGTAATCTAAATGGTTGCAGCATGAAGCAATCAAGTATAGTATTTAGCTTTTTATTTTTCACATTACCAGTCTATACAGATACAGCATAAACTACAGCTGTGTGCCCATCAGGACAATTTAATGAAAACCCTTTGGATGAGTATCTGTGGAGAGGGAATGCTTTTACCTTCAATCAGATTTGTCCTTTTTTGAAATGAAGTTATTTCTGGTAAAGCTCAGCAGAATATGAGAGTGAATGGTCTATTCTGAACACCTATTAGGAACATCATCCTATCTTTTGTAAATACAATTTGCTTTCCAATTCTACTTCATGTAATCTCCTCAGAATGGTGCAAACTCCCATTCTTATCAGTAGAGTGCAATGCCAGTTGAAATTAGTAAAGTTTCACCACTTCCCCCACCAAATATACATCTTTTTTTATTTTGCCAGTTTATCAAACACCGTGAAATACTGGAATTAAGAAACAGCTTCAAATGAAGGGAAGTATCATTCTGGAGAAATGTGAATTTCTATCCCTTTTCAAAAGGCTGACTTTCCTATGACAAAAAGAAATGCACATCAAGTCTCAAATTCCT